ATCCCTCCCTTTTGAGTGACAACATCAAGGCGCACGCCACAAATCGGAGGAGAAGCTCAACCAAACACCAACAAATGTCTATTATTAATATTATTATTATTATAGCTTGGGAAATCGGTAACATAATTTCCAACAAAGAAAGAAGCTCAAGTTCGAGCGAAATCAAACCTTATGTACCCTGCCCACGAATTCGTGAAATATGCAGTTATTTTGCTTATCTGAAAACGTCCATTATACACGCAAGCTTAGGTTTGGTTCGATTTGCAAGGGACAAAATTATGAGTACTGAGACCAGTGTTGCCGCGAATCATTTTTAGTGGTAGCCAAATTCCTTTAAACTAAAGGCTAAAAAAGAGCTAAAAAAGTCGTTGTGGCTAAGATATATAGATAAGATACATAGATAAGTATATTCGCAAACATTTTCAACAAGTAATGGTATAGAAAGACAATGAACTCTGGAAAAAAAGCTAATATTTTATCCAACCAAAAACCTCTTTGTATAAAAGGGGAAATATACGACATCAGCTTGCTGGCTCCATAAAGTTATTGTACCATCAGGCTCGAAGCATATAACTTACCAGCATGCTGGTACAATATGTATTTCTTTACAAATGAGGTCGAGGAATGATCGAAATGATTAGAGCCGAAATTTCATAATTTTTGTACCATTTTGTTAAACATTGTTTTTTTTTTTTTAATTCACAACTGCAATATCGTGAACTTAATCTTCCACAAACACGGCTTTGACTAATATAGTGCACGAAATTTCCGCAAAAATACTTCTTTCTTAAAAAATTTAACTAATTTCACCACTCACGATACCAGCATGCTGGTATAATCATAAAATTTCCAAATTTTTCATTTGTTTAATCACGCAAGAAAAAATGTATGATTTATTTCAAAATTAACCGCTATTTAAAAAGAGTATTTTATATACGCAATCCCAACAAAACTTACGTATACAGATTTTTGTGCAATACGGAGATTAAAATTTTTTTTAACTATTTTAATATTTCACTCTGTAAATGCCCTTTTTGGAAAAAAATTGAGTATGCATTTTTATATGAAGGAAATACCTAGCACCGACAACAAAAAATACGATGCGTCGACAATATTTTGCAGGCACTTTATTATACTTAAATTGAGCGGGCTACAAACCTGAATGCCCGACAATTTTATAGAAATTTTTATTTACTTATACACTGCCGGACATTTGTATAGTTTCAGCTTTTAGTGATTTTTTTTATTTGTTTATACTGTGAAAATCAGATTATAAAAAACTAAAGAATATTAAATAAACAAAAAGAAAACTGTCAATACCGAGGATCAAAGGGGTCCCCTATTAAAGTGGCGGGGAGTGTATACATATATATATATATGAAATACGCTACAGATTCAAAACCCTCTATCTGCAATTTTCACAAAAAATACTTTGTGATGTTAGAAGCCATCAGGGACATACCTGATGTTAATTCTGACTTTGCAATTTAATTGTAAATTCTTCTGTCAAGCGCTATACAAGGTCAGCATTAATATCACCGAAGACGGTTAAAGGTCTGGTTAAGCATATTTCGCATAACTTCGCAAAACTTCTTAAACGTAACACAACTTTACAAAACTTAAGGCTGAGTACGCTTCGCATGCAACCAAATTTATCAGTACTACCAACCTTACGCATCGACGCAATAGGGTTATTCATGGTGTGTGAACAAACCCAGCTGATTTTTGGTTTCTTTAGGTAAATAGATTTGTTTACAGAAAAATTCATTAAGGTGGTTTTAATGGGGTATATTTGTAGTAAAAATTAAGTCGACACCAAAGTTTCTGCAGTTTGACCAAAGATCGTAGATAACAAGAAGGGACAACTCGTTATAATTGTAGCGAAAGTGAGTAACAGGGGCATTCCTTCTCTTTTGCTCTAGTACGTTTTTTAATTGGATGGACTTGTACTTTCGCTGTAGAAATTTTAGGTCTATATTATGTAGTTTGAGTATTGTCAACGAAATCGAATGCTTTGTACTGCATGCGCTCCACGTTTTTCATTTTCAATGTCATTAATTGTTTATAATGACTTTTGCTAAAATTTCAAAATCTAAAGTTATCAAAACAAATTCTGTGGGACTGAGAAATATTATTTTCTACTTTTTAGTCCATTTATAAAAGCGTTGTATATTAAAAAGTTTTATTTTATTTTATTTATTTTTGTTAAATTTACTGAGCAAATACAGTTTTAATATTTGTTTTTCAACGATTTTTTCCCTATATTCAAGAGGCTTCTCTGAGGAGCCCTAGAGTCCGAGGAGAAAGGGAGGAAGGCCATTGAATTCCTTTGTCTTTGCTCTCTCAAGTCGGAAAGTTGGGAGGTGCCAAACCCCCTTAATTTTTTTTTTGTACCAGCCTCAAGCTCAAATTTCCTTAAACTTTAATAGATTTTAGAATGCAATGCGATTTGCATCAATTGACAAAAAAATCGAACGTAGATTCTGGTATTTTTTGGATAAATTTACGGATCGAATTGGAACTAAAAAATCGACAAAAAATCGAATCGGAAGGTCTTGATTAATCGATCTTCGATTTAACCGATTTAAAACGGTATCTCAATTACCCATATGTTAGTGTTTGCCCGAGCTTCTCCTTCGATTTGTGACGTGTGCCTTGATGTTGTCACAAAAAAGGGAGGGACCTCCACTTTTACGCCGACTCCGAACGGCGATTTTATTTTTAAGAGAAGCTGTTTTTCATGCCAGAAATACACTCGGGGGTTTGCCGTTGCTTGCTTGCGACCGCTGCGCATAGGAAGGAATCGAAAATATAGGACGACAAAAATGTTAACTCCATATGTATTTGACAGATTTCAATGAAATTTGGTATCATCACTGATATCAAATATTAAGTTTTACTGTAATATATTATCCTTTATGCTTAAACTTAATAGGCATATTTTAGCGTATCGCGCGTTTAATAATATGGAGATGTAACTCAAAATTTAAGTCTTTGGGGATTTAGCTATGCTTGTTAAGTAGAGTATTTTCAGTCTAACAGACAACGAAACTTCCCAAATATGGCGAAGAAGTCTGTCTTTCCATCTGTATTCTTGTATACCAACTGTATGAATTGATAAAACTTTGATTGCGTTTTCTCCAAAAAACTGAAATTTTGAAATACTTCGTTAAATACTATAAACGTGAGATATTACATTTTAGACAAGCTTCAAATTAATATGATTTTGTGAAATATCACGTCCTCAGTATCAGCTAGTGGGTCTATTTTTGCAAGCATACCTCTGATTATATATAGAAAAAGTTAATGTATTTTTAATTCCTTATAAACCATACTCCCGACAACCAAATGCAATACAAAATTGCAATGCAATTGAATGAAATCTCTCTAACACATTCTTTACCCCCAACAAAATAACTTATGTATAACAAAGAATGAACGCTGACTTTTTGTGTGGTAAATACATATAATAGATATGTGATGTATTGTGGAACGATTTTCCGTCATCCCTTGTTTCGGCATTGTGCTGGTTTGTCTCCAAACCAAATTTGACAAGGGTTGACGGAAAATCGTTCCACAATACATCATACTCCTACCCTGTCGGCAACACAAACAACCAAAAAGAAATAATAGATATACATACATAAATAAGTAACTATTTTCAATGTGGGCACTTTAGTCCCAAATGCAAATTCATAAAAAATTCGCTAGCTTTTGGTGCGGCCTTTGACTTCTCTAACAAACTCATTAATGCAAAGGAGTGGGTGAGGCCCGCGGATGGCGGGCGCAGCGCTTTTAAACGCGAGTGCTCCAGCCGCAATCCAAACTCTTATTTGATAGGGACACAGGTGGGCATTGTTATTGGCAGGAAAATAAGCAGGTTAGCAGTGCATAGTGGCCAACAACAACGACTTAGCTTTTAGCAGGTACTATTCGCTGTGGGCCATTGCAATTTGGCTGCTATACGCGCAAATATTTGCGCTAATTGAAAGCTGCCGCGAGATAAATGTGAATGCGCGTCTGAGCTCAACTACTCCTCGAACACATAATGCCACCTAATATGGGGGAAAATGCATGAAATGAAAGTAAGTCATGGCGCCCAAATGAGCTGGTTTTTAGATCGACACAAGCCATGGAGCAAAAGCTACAAAAAAAACTGCAATAGCCTGGCCTAATATAAACGACAATCACCACGCAACAAGGAAAAAAACAACTACTCAGCGAACTGGGTAAACATGTTTACTAGCAACTTTTTGTGCTGTGGTTTGAAATAATAAAATGCTCGCTAGGGAGGGAGGGCGGCGCCGCGATAGGGGTTATATAAAACCAAATTGGAAACCTCACGAAATCAATTGCCAGTGCACACAGCTCTTGTGGTCAACCGCTAGCTGCTAGCTGTGGTGCTGCATGCAACATACACGCCAGTATGGCTATCTATTGGGCGCCAAACATTCATTTGTATATATGTAACATGCAAGTACAAGTGCCGCTATGTGTGTGTCTTTATATGCTGTATGGTATGCTGCATTTACGTGTTAACCGCAAACTGCACTTGTTGTTTATTATTGCACCAGCCACAGCTGCGACCATAGCTGGTCTTAGTTATTGTTGTTCCAGTTGTTGCATTGACTATTGCCATTGCATTTACGGTACTTTTGGTTAACCACACAGTGTGGTCGCGGCTTAGACTGTGACGGTGGCTGCTCCGAACAGGTATTGTTAGCATGTGAACTCACGTTTCGCTTATTAGGCCACAGGCAAGGGACAACAGTCACAGCCACAGCCACAGCCTCAGCTACAGCGACGTGGACCGGAGGGACGATGCAGGTGAAGTGGGAGGATCTGTGCTTTGGTTTGTTGACAGCAGCACGTTAACCGAGAATGTATATAAACGGTTATTGTTATTTCTGTCCGATCGTTCATTGCTATTCGGTGTAGCACACATATTCTTACAACATTGAGGTTCATATGCTCACTGTTGTATTTTTATCATTTGGCACCTGTGTTAACTCTTTCACTCTTATGTATATGCGCTGGTGTGTTTTTGGTTGACTCCCCAACAGGTTACCACAATTTCAACTTCGCAACATGCTCTTGTTTTCTGTTCAGCTCCTTTTTTCAAGGTGTGTAAGTGTGCCACGTGTTGTCGTTTACATTTAGTCTACTTTGAGAACAAGTTTCTGTTACTAATTATAATCTTACCTAATTTTCAAATCGCTATTTAGGCTACGGATATCTCAATGCGTCGGCGTCTGTCTACACCCAAAGCTAGTCCATTGTTGCTAAAACGTACCTCGTCCGATAAGCCGAAAAAGGAATCACCACTTGCGAAACCTGAAAAAGTCAGCTGGTTCAAGTCGTTGGATAGGCGTTCGAAGAGCAAATCAAAGGAAAAGGTAAGTGTTATAGAGTTTTACGAGTATTAAATACACATTACATATTTATGAATGTAGGTGTGTAAGGGCCAATTTCAGATGAATATTTAAACGGCACCCAAGTTTAATTATAGATTGTTATTTAAATACAGTTTAAAAGGTGTTCGCACGAGGCGATTTTGCGTTCAACTTTTTTTTTCGTGCAACCCTGAGTGAGTTGAACGCAAAAGTTGCCTGAAAAATCGCATCGTGCGAAAGCCCTATTAGCTTTCGTTGGGTTTCAGATCAACTTTGTTTAAATATGTCAAACAAGTGGCGAAACTAATGCTTGTTCTTTGAAATTTTTGTTTCATTTGTTTGTTTGTTTACATTTTGTGCTGCACAGCTGATTGTTGTTTGGCAAGATTGAAATAACACAAAAGGCAATAACGCATTTGTGTTATTTCCCAATTGAATGTGAAATAACACAAATTTGCTTTATTTCATTTCTCATTTAGCAATAAGACCAACTTTTAAACTTAACAATTGAGTAACCCAGTAGACAAAAAGTACTACATGAACAAGTTAAATGGACGGATTTGTAAGTCTACAATTTTGAAAGTGCCCAGTGTTGCGGCAAATATTGATGGACTCCTTAGCCACACTGCTCAAAAAATCTGAAAGTCCGATACATACACATATATAAATTCATGGCCGTATTTTTGCTAGAGGTAATTAAAGAGGAAAGGATATAGAGAGAGACACAGAGACTCAATCTTGGAACTATTTTTGGATTTTAGGGATTTTCGGGATTCTCGAGACCTATCGATAAAATAATCGATATTTTCATCGGTTTAGTTATCGATATTTATCGATTTGTTATCGATATTTACCGATTTTATTTATCCGATTTTGTTATCGATATTTTTCGATTTTGATATCAATATTGATCAATTTTGTTATCGATATTTATCGATTTTTTTATCGATATTTTTCGATTTTGTTATCGATATTTATCGATTTTGTTATCGGTATTTATCGATTTTGTTATCGATATATATCGAACTTGTTATCGATATAAATCGATTTTGTTATCGATATTTATCGATTTTGTTGTCGATATTTTTATCGATTTTCTAATCGATTTAGCTACCAATGGTATTATCGATGTTGCTATTGAATTTTTTTTCGAATTTGTCATCGATTTTGGTATCGGTATTTTGATGGATGTTATAATCGATTTTGGTATCGATAGAGTATAATGATAAAAATGAAGATAATGGAAAAACAGAATAGCATTAATGTTATTAAAACGAACAGTGGTAGAGGTAGGGATCTACATTGATAGAAAAAAAGCGAAAAAATATAACCTTAAGCAAAAGCAGATGTGTGTATGTATAGATAGATAAGTGACGTAAGTTTCACTTCTACAGTGTGGCCCAGGCGAACTTACTTTTTTATACCTTTCATGAGCATGAAATGGTATTATAACTTTGGTCCGATGTTTGTAAGTACCAGAACAAAAAGAGATAGACCCATGAAAATGTATACTTATATGATCAGAACGTCGAGCTGAGTTGATTTAGCCATGTCCGTCTGTCCGTCTGTCCGTCTGTCCGTCTGTCTGTCTGTTTGTATGCAATCTAGTCTCTCAGTTTTCGAGATATCCGGATGAAATTTGGTAGGTGGGTGTATTTTTATAATGTATTAATCATTTGTCGGAACCGGAAGAATCGGACCACTATAACATATAGCTCCCATACAACTGATTGTTCAGATATGAGATTTTTCATTATAACTTCTCCATTTATGCAGCTAAGAACATGAAATTTTGCAATACTTGCACCCATTATCAACAGAATACTTATAGTGAAAATTACAAAGATCGGGTCACTATAACCTATAGCTCCCATACAACTGATTGTTCAGATATAAAATTTTGCGTTATAACTCCTCCATTTATATAGCTAGGAACATGAAATTCCGCACTGTTTTCAATAATTATCTACAGAAAACTTACAGTGAAAATTAAAAAGATCGGGTAACTATAACCTATAGCTCCCATACAACTGATTGTTCAGATATGAGATTTTTCGTTATAATTCATCCATTTATGTAGCTAGGACCATGTAATTTCGCACTGTTTTCACTCATTATCAACAGAAGACTTACAGCGAAAATAACAAAGATCGGGTCACTATAACCTGCAGACCCCATACAACTGATTGTTCAGATATGAGGTCTTTTATCATAACTCCTCCATTTATGCAGCTAGGAACATGAAACTTCGCACCATTTTCTCTCATTATTAACAGAATACTTACAATGAAAATAACAAGGATCGGATGACTACAACATATATCTTCCATACATCTGATTGTTCAGATATGGGATTTTACTGTAAAACTTCTTTATTTGAACAGCTAATACTGATAAATTTCGTAAGATATTTTATAAATAATAATACAAATTCTACTGAGAAAATCGTCAAAATCTATGCTATATAAGCTTTATCTCCTATAGCACTGATTGTTCAGATACCAGTTTTTGCGATATATCTCCTTTATATAGGAAACTAAACCCAATAAATTGTGTTACCGGTTTACATACCGATCACATAGCGGTGAAAATAACTTAGATTGGTGTCATATAAAGTATATCTTCCATACCTCTGATTGTTTAGATGCGATTTTTTATATAAGTATGTAACTCCTCTATCGATGTATGCAGATGTATTCAAAAGCAGTAATCTGTCAAAGTAAAATTTGCAGATGTTCATGAAAGGTATGAAGCCTTCGGCATAGCCGAAGACAGCGCTGCTCTTACTTGTTTTATATTATTTATTTTCCAAAACAGCACGCCAGTCATTTCTCTTCTGTGCCAACTGACGCCAACTGAAAATATTGAAATAACAATATTAAAAGAAATATTGTTTTAAATAAAAGATCATAGTGAGTTTATTATAGAGCTGTAAAACTATCGATAGTCATACCATTCGATGTTTTCGATAGTTTGCATTGAAACTATCGATAGTATCGAAAAATTTTAGAATGCATTGGCGAAGCTATTTATACAAACTTTTAGTTTTATTTAGTTCCTGAAGAATTAGATAATTGTTATATGGCGATTTTCAGTATCTTTGTCCTTTCTCTTCGATTTTTTAAATATTTTAAACCTATAATATAAAAACCTAAAATTCCCAATCGTAGAAAAACAAATCGCTTGTGAACGTAAAGAAAACTGTATGTATTACAAAAACTGTTCATCAGTCCAGCTCCGGCGATGCCACAGTGTTTTTGCATAGAACTCACTCCAAAATTTACAGAAAAGTCCATATTTCAAGCGTGCGTTACAAGAACCGAAATCATTGTACAAATAGCCGAACCGTACCCCGACTTATACATGATATATATGGATAAATATCCATTCAAAGCATCAAAAGAAAAAACAAGAATCTCCAAAATTTTACTAGCCCTGGCTTATATAAATAGTTTCTTCAATCGACGCAGAATCACCAACACCATAGTATGGTTCCAAAAAGATATTAAAACTAGTTGTTTTTCAAATTAATTACACCCGATTTACATGATTCAAGTACTTTAAAGCAATTCTGGTTCATTCTCTTTTGCGTTTCCTATTTGCATTTACACGCTTAAATTTTGTTGAATTCCAGACGCGTATGTACTCTTCCCTTTTCTTCTCAACCCCTCTCTTCCACTAGCAAGCAGAAACGAATTCAATACTTGAACCGTGTAAAACCCGGCAATAGGTAAAAAAAATAGTGACGTGTAAGCAAGTCAATGTTGCCAAATTCCCGTTTCCAAAAATAAAGAAATGTATACTAACCCAACAAGCATTTCAGTAAACGTTTTTAAAAATAACTTAAATTAAGTTTGCTATAATAAGCGTTAAATAAGCATTTTTAATATTAAGCTTATTAAAAGTTTTTTCAAATAAACCTTTAATAAGTTTTGAGAGCGAATGTTTATAAATAACTTAAACTTATAAATGAAATGTAAATGCCAACGACATGAAGTAGTAAATATAAAATTTTTTCAATCGTAAGTGACGTGTTTACGTTTTTTTAAATATATTATTAAAAGAAAAAATTAAATAAAACCAATGCGGTACGGTAAAACAAGAAAATCCAATCCAGGACCCGCTGCGCTAATCGGTGGAGCATTCGAGTCTTCAAATGATGAGTTCCCCTTATCCTTTCTTAGTTTAACATTCAATTAAAAATGTATTAAATTTTTTTCAGAAAAGTTCATCAATGAGAATGGCGGCGATGAAGCGGAATATATAGCTGCATCGATGTCGCTTTTCCAATTTGCCAATAACCGCAAGTAATTGAAAGCACGCAACAAAATGTTATAATTAACTTTTTTATGCTTAATTTGTATGTGTTATTGTGAAATATCTTTAAATAAAGGGTTATAAAAATGTTTATAAAAAGCTTTCTTTTGAAAATTTTTAGTAAGTTTATATTGATACGCTTATAAAAAACTTTTTTTGAACCTTTATTATAAGTTTACACTTTTACGCTTATAAAAAGCTTTCTTTTGAACATTTATTACAAGTTTATATTTCTACGCTTATAACCAATGTTCCTTTTCGATTATATTACGCTTACTTTCAAGCGTTTTATAAACAAAAAATCAACGTTTTGTAAGCTTAATGTTTATAATTGAAAACTTAAAAAAAACTTTCTTTAAGTTTATTTTGCTTGTTGGGTAAGTAGTACATATAGTATAAACGATATTTATATTTCCTCAAACAAGGACTATCGATACTGGCCAACGACCATGCGATAGTGCAAAGAAATAGAACCATTCGATAGTATCGATAGTACCATCGATAGTTTTACAGCTCTAGTTTATTAATAGAACCACAAATCAAAAATGGCAACATTTTTAAAAATACTTAGAATGAATTACCAAATTTAATTAAAATTATTTTATTTCATTTTATTTCTGCTCTCTATTCCGGCAACTTCGGCATTCCCTCAAAGGGTTGTTTCTATTATGAATGTGAAATGGCGTGACGAGAGAAAAAAGCGACTGCCTCACTAATAAAAAAATGAACTTCTGATTTATATTAATTTAAATATTGATTGCGATAAAGCATATCGCTAGCTTAGAGTGAAAAGTTTCTAAGTCCCAATTTAAAAATTGTACAAGAGAGGAAAAAACTGCTTGTAGCCATTTTCTTCAAATATTCCCAAACTTTTGAATACAACATTTTGCCTGTTTAAAGCAAAGCGAAACTCCATACGAATCAGAGGGATTTGATCTTTACTAAAATATTTCGTACTATATTGGCCTTGTCGAATTTTCTAAGCTTTTTTAAACTTAGCAAATTTTGCCTTCATTGAATATCAACAAGAAAACATAAAACAAGGACCTTTACGCTTTTCGAAACGATGCATTTTTAATTTGTCTAGCCTCCTGTATGAAAATATGAATTTTCATAAAAAGTGGACTTAGCAATTTTCACTCTAAGCTAGCTAAATGATTATTTCAAAGAAATACATTTTTTTAAAGAGGAATGCATAAGAAATAAGAAGGATGTACATATACTTAAAAAGCGTTTTACTTTTTCTTTTAAGTATAATACTATATCTACATATATATTTGAAGTGTACTATATTTTTGATATTTTTTTGGGCAAGTACTATAAATATCTTAGAAAAGGTTGGCAACCCTAATTGGAAATGTCAAGTGAAGACAATTCCTTCTCCACCTGGTATTTCCAACGCAGACCGTCCTCTTCCGCTGTTACTAGCATCGCGACCCGCGTTGAATACTTTCAGAGATGCAGCGTTTCTGTCCATTTGAACGACATGACCTAGCCAGCGAAGCCGCTGAATTTTAATTCGCTGCACTACGTCTATATCGTTGTAAAGCTCAAAGAGCTAATCGTTAAATCGTCTGCGGTATTCGCCATCGCCAACGCGCAAAGAGGTCTATAAATCCTGCGCAGAATCTTTCTCTTGAAAACTTCAAGAGCCGCTTCATCAGATGTTTTCATTGCCCATGCCTCCGCGCCATACATCAGCACAGGCATGATGATTTTTTACGACGAGAGAAGACTTTACTTCTCAGCTGCTTACTCAGTCCAGTAGCACTTGTTGGCAAGAAGGACTCTCCGTTGGATTTCAAGGCTGACAGTATTATTGCCCAGTTACCAGAGTTTTTAATTTCTGACGCTTTCATTTTATTTTTTAACATTTTGTCACGCCACGCAAGATTGGAAATGCACATATGTACTATTCCTAATAAAATACAATTATTTTTAATACAATGTACAATATATTGTTAATTACATTAACTTTGTAATGTATATTTTACGATTCGATACGATAAAAGGGATCTGGTACTCGATTCCAAAAATATCGTTTTGAAAACTATCGAGTAAAAAGTACCGGTATCGAATGGCAAAATTATCGATATGGTATCGTATCGAAATTCGTGTCCCTACTGCTAGTATTGTATAAAGACTATCATACCTATTCCGAATGTTCACGAACATTTTGTAACGGAGAAATGTGAAATTTTTATAACAAAAACGGAAACGGGAGATTTATTTCTTCTTCTTCTTTGGCTCTGTAACCACCTAAGCGATTTTGGCCGAGTTCAACCAAGTATGCCAGTCGCTTTTTTCTGTGCCAACTGGAAATGCCAAATGAAGCCAAGTCCTTCTCCACTTGCTCTGTCCATCGTAGTGGTGGCCTCCCTCCTCCTCTGCTACCACCATCGGGCTCCGATTTGAATACTTTCAGAGCTGGAGCGTCGGTGTCCATTCGAACGACATGGCCAAGCCAGCGGAGCCGCTGTATTTTGATTCGTTGTAAAGCTCATACAGCTCATGGTTCCATCGTCTTCGGTACTTGCCGTCGCCAATACATAAAGGCCCGCAAATCTTCCAGAAAATCTTCTCTCGAATTCTGCAAAAGCCGCCTCGTCGGACGTTGTTGTTGTCCATGCTTCTGCGCCATATATCAGCACGGGCGTGATGAGTGATTTATAGAGTGTGGTTTTCGTACGTCGAGAGAGGACTTAACTCCTGAATTGCCTACTCAGTCCAAAGCAGCACTTGTTGGCAAGAATGATTCTGCGTTGGATTTCGAATGTGGCGTGCTGGATCCCAAGTAAACGAATTTACTTCTAGCTATCAGCAGTAACGTGGACGGCAAGGCGGAAACGCGCTGACTGTTTGATGACTTCGTATTGTCCTCATTGACCACCAGACCCATTTACTTTGCCTCCCTATCCCTATTGGTAAAGGTTGAACAGACTTCGCGGTTTTTATTACCGATGATGTCGATGTCCTCGGCATACGCCAGCAATTGAACGGGTTTGTAGTAAATTGTGGGAGATTTATTAACTGGCTAATTATACCCCATCCCCCCTCCCACCTCTCCGCCAGCGTAGAATGTGAATATGTGGAAAAAATTTGCGACCTTAAAATTATTTAGCAAACGCTTTCATAAAATTATATGGCAAATTATAATAAGCAACATAAAAATATTTAACTAAACCCTGCCTTTTTTCATTTTTATTATCCTTTTTTAGAGATCTCTGTTAATATGATTTCTTACTAAGATAGTTTGAACCAATCAAGCTAAATGCAGATATGTATTTCGGCAAACATCTGCTTACATACGTATAAACTTTTTCTACTTAACTAATATATCTATGTATCTCTCTTTCATAGCTCGACGTTTCGGTTAATGGCCAAAGCGAATCCTCCACTATGAAGCGTACTAAAAATTCTGTAAGAACTACCTCAGCGCCACCACCAATTCCACCAAAAAATTTGCGTTTCTTCGGTGATACAGATCTCGATTCGAATCCGCCAACCATAACCAAAGCTAATACCACTCTCAAGTAAGATGAACTCTATACGTACATACACATATTATCATCTAATATCTATTTCTTCTTAGAACAAGACCCTTAGTACCATCCACACTTAACCGGACGCAAAAGTACTCGCAAAGCGCTTACCATTTGGACCGCCTCAATACCAACCCACAGCAAAACGATTACCGTAGAACCCTCTCGTCCGCCACGCAGACTGTTGGTGTTGGTGGCTCGCGACTCAAAAGTTCTTCAATGCATAATTTGGAAAATGGCGGTGTGGGTGGCGATGAAGTCGATTTTCGTAAACGTCGGCACTACTCACGCTCACGTGATTTAGATGACATCTCAGAGAGTGGCTCTGAAACCGAGGACCAAAATAAGCGCCCAAATGGCGGGGTGAGTGGGTCTCGCACCCTATCACGCGAGCGCTTGGATCGTTCACATCGGTATGACGACCACACCTATCGACGCAGCAGCGATCGCCACAGCACACCTTTGGCCATGACTACTTCTACGCCGAATGGTATTGCTGCAGGTGGAAATGAAAGAGACATGCGGCAAACTCAAAATCATCTGATGGCGCCTCCGAAGCCTGCGCGCAGTGCCGAGCGTCGTGTGGCGTCTTCTTTATCGAGGTAAGTCTCAATAAGAGATAAAGCTTCAAAATTTCGGCTTTGTATACTATTAATTCTCTCAGAGAACGTGATCACTTTCCGGCAGAGAGTTCGGGTACTGAAGGGGAGTCCAGTTTACAAAGTCAGCGCAGCGTTGTCTACCTGCACGCTACGACAGTTGGTGCCATACCACAGCCATATCATTTGAGACGTCGTTCCATATCCCGAGACGACCTTCGTTCGAACAAGGGGAAACCACAACCATTACAGCCGATGACACGCACTGTCTCTCGATCGGTGTCGATGTTGGCTCCATGGAAGCCGAAACTAATCAGCGAAGGATACGAGATCAACTACTCCCAAGAGCAAAATAAACGAGTGAGACATTCATTGAAATTAAGGTGAAAGAAATCTAATGGCACAGAAAAATCTTTCCATTTCTATTACAGATGGCAACGATGCCTCGAAAGCCACACATGGGTAGTTCAAGTACTCTCACACGTCCAAGCAAGAAATCAGAAACGCCTACCGCTCGAACATTGCGGCGGCATGATCACCTGAAAGACGATCAGTCATCGTTTAGGCACTCATCCACTACAAGTGCCTCTAAGTCCGCACTTTCGTCGAATTTACGCAGCGGCGATGGACGAAGGAAGATCAAATAAACTAGTGTAAACTTGGCCCACAGAGAGAGTACTAGAGGGCGATGGAATTTTAACCAAACTATAATTGTTTAACTGCAGGAAATATTTTAGCTTTGAGTTGAAACATTGCTTGCATTCTATGGAATGTAAGGGGGTTAAAGAGAAAAAGCTCGCTAAGTGCGTCGACCGCAGAAACTGGTGCTCTTCATATAACAAAAGCAAGGCGCATGTCAGAGAGCGAAAAAGCGTGAAACGGCCGTGCCAAATATACATACATACGTGCACAGATACATATGTATTTACTAAAAAGACGCATAATTATATCCTTATGGTATAAGATAATCGAAAAGCCCTTTCTAAACCCTAATCTTTATGCTTAATAACGAAAGCTTCACAGTCAGTGCGAAAGTTAATTTCACACAATTGTTCATATTATACATACATAAATACTTAAGTATAAAACTGAGACATAGGCACTTCTCGTCAATACTTACATGCCGTTAAAGTTTCAAAGTTCGATATGTATCGGCGAAAGAATGCAAATGCGTTTATCGAATGTATGTATGTATGTATTAATATTTAGCTAAACATCAAGCTAACTTAATTAATGATTTATTTAAAATTTAAGTGCCAGTTAAAATTAAAACAAGAAAATATAACTACTAATAAGCAAAACGTATCTACATATATAATACGAGCCTAAAACATTTACATAATTCACATTCCATTTTTGGAGTATTGTAAACTGTAAAATTTTTCAAAAATAAAGAGAGAGTAATTAAAAAAAATATTAAAATAGTACGACGTTGTTGACTATGTTATGATATACTCAGGGATAGGGATGCAAACGATGCATCGATAATATCGGTTCAAAATTGAATGTTTGCCATCGATGTTTACAATTTCCTAAAATCGCTAAATAGACGATACATCGATGCCAGTTGTGAGTGATTCAGACTTGAACTCAACTTACCCATTACGCTCCTTGCTTTATTTTTGCTTTGCTTATTTTTAGAAAAATTTACAATTTATTTGATAGCTGTCAACTCTCAAAGTTCTAATTTGACATAAAATTCGTGATCAGCATGTCAAAAAACGTAAGCAGTGCTATTCTCAAAAAGATTTTCTTAATTTTAGAAAAATTGTCAGTTGATTTGACAGCTGTCAACTGTCAAACTATAAATTTAATGGCATATTCAGATAGCATTACAACAATACTATGATCCCGCAGTTTTATTATAATCGTGACAGCCCTTCTTATTTTTCCTGTAAAACATGGCCTTTACGACCACTGTGAGTCGCAAAAGTATCCCCAAAAAATGCTATTAAAATTAATTAAAATTAAGTAGAATACCCACCGTTTAATACCACTCCTCTTCGACATGCTACAAAAAAAACGCGTTTAAATAATTACAATTATTTAAAAATATGAAAAGAATTCAAAACTTACATTTCTGCTGCTTTCAAACCAACAAATACTTTTGTAAATTGGGGCTGTCAACCAATAAAAGTAAAACACAAAGTCTGATGCTGTCTTGAGAGGTACATAAATATATGTATGTATGTACGCATCTATTAAAATGTGTAAAAACAAGATCAAAAAATTTTTTGGTCAATTCTGATCGCTTAAATTCGAAGTGATTTTGCCAAAGAGGAAGTGCAGAAGTGTAAAACTTCGATCGGAGTAAAAACGGCAACACGGTAGCGTACACACACAGATACGCCAAAGTGTGCTAAAAATAGAATGTGCATGATCATAAGCCCCCTGTAGTCAAATGAAATATGTAGTTGTAAACTACCTCACAACTAGTATGAACCGCATGCCCAACTAGTCAGCCAACTATCTTTTTTCCATGCAATCAACTGGTATTTTTAACATGGGGATGTCCTACGAGATGGCAATTGTCAGATTTCGGTCAGAAATATACCAGTCTCATACTAGTTGGAAATATACAGGAAAATACCAGTCCAATTATGGATCAAAACCATTACTTTGGGAGTGAAAAAATAAGACGAATTCATGAATAATATAGAATCAAAAATAAAATAAAGTCAAAAATAATTGAAAATGATCAAAAATAACAAAATAATGACGAAATTAAAATCAATGAATTAATTAAAATTTTTTAAAGTAATTAATTATTAATCAGGTGGTAATATCGGTATTTAATCATTAAACGGTTATCCAAAAAAACATGCTTTAATTAATAATGAATATGAATATTAATCATTTAGGGGATTCCCTTAAACTTGTAAAGTCTTAAACTGTGTAAAACTCGTAAGTTTACGAGGCTTTTACGGGAACGCCACCTTTGTGAAAAGGTGCGTAAACTGACTGTTTGACAGATAAACCAGGATTTTGTGAAGCAATTTTTGTTTCGTAGTATTTTCCATAACATCCCACCATCTTGTCTCTACCAGTATTAGCTAAAATAAAATTAAAAATGCCGAAAATTAGCAGAAAACTCATGTTAGTACTGTTAGTGGATGAAATTCACTCTTTTTATTCAATATTATAAAATACATTTTAGTATATAATTTTCCGCTCCTCGGCAATACTGAAGTGCACGAGGTCATTTTACAAGGGGCTCGTAAATAGAGCTCCATACAAATTTTGAAAGTTCTTTTACGAGGCTCGTAAATTTACGAGGTTTACGAGGCTTTTACGAGTTTAAGGGAAGACCCCTATTATTTAACAGGTCTGGTTTAATTGAGTACGTACTCGACTTAATGGTTTACAATATACCCAAATAAAAGTTATAATATTTTGTTTACTTTATTGTATTAAACTGTCGAAGTCAAATAAAACAGGGCATGAATAAATCGTTTTGTACTTGGTACAAGTCTGGTCATTTTCGAACTAGTTCGGTTTCTGTCAGGAAATTCTAGTTGTAAATTAGTATTTTTGCTGACTAGTTTGGGATTTCACTGCAGGGCAAGCATGCGCCCAAACACACGTGGGAAATTCGATGGGCACTTGCTCAAAAATTTGAAAACTTTTTCAGCGTTTCTCACTTCGCAACAGACTTGTGCGACTCTGGGCATAAGGTTTTTGACATGCCCTCATCCGCCATCAGTCTCCGTACGTAAGGAAGGGTGTACGTCGCCTTCTGGCAGACAGAGCGCAATCCCATCGCCTAGTCCGAATGCCATATGGCCGCGGGGTGGTCGTCACATAGTTTAGATGAATCGTCGCACTTTGTAGACGTTGTCGTTGCAATGTGCAGATGCTATCGTCGCACTTTGTAAGGATATACTGTCCTCGTCCCTCGTCCTGCCGCCAAGCGTTCCCGCACCTACATCGATAGTGTGCAACTACGAGGGGAGATACTGGTGTGTGCTTAGGGCACACTAATCAGTAGAGCTGGAAGACTATCGATGGTCGTGCCCATCGAAAATGTCGACACTATCGATAGTTTTGATTAAAACAGTCAAAAAACAAAACTCTTATTGAAAATGAGATCAGAATAGCGAAAATACGACGATATTTTTTTAAGGAATAAAAGTTTATCAACGATTTTTAGCTTCAAGTAGCATTTGCGCTCTGATATATGTATGTTACTGAATAATGTATGTATGAGTGAATACTATCGATAGTGCTTACAAAACCATCGATGTTTTCAATAGTCAATAACCATCGATACTATCGATAGTGCCATCGATAGTTTTCCAGCTCTACTAATCAGTATCCGTAGTTGTTTCAGGTCGCTAACAGTCATCACAAGCTAGGGCCGCTGCCATCGTCACCGTAAAGCTAGATTTACATGAGGAGATTTTCTAGGCGATCAACATTGCTCCAGAAAAAATTGCTCGTGCAAATGGCGATTCAAAAATCGCTTGCCCCAAAGTAGACAGTAAGTCAACTTTTGCAGGCGATTATCGCCTATCAAAAAATCGCCTCATGTACATAAAGGCAGCTTAAGCTATCACCATTTGGGCCACCCCTATCCATCACTAAACTCTCCGACAGCTGCTGGCAATAATCGCCGGGATACAGGAGCGCTGCCCACTAATTTGATGCGCTATAGTGCATTTAAAACCCCGTCTAGTTCATGAAAATACAAAATTTGTTTAATCACATAGCTACGTTGTTTAGTATGAATAATCTACATTATCTCCTTTGAGACGCATTTGTACCTGTGCCACCATAACCGTAAGCTATAGACAGTACAATCGGGGTTGAATGAACCCCGGCTTAGCTGAACTCCTTCCCGATCGAGTGAATACCAAATTTCTATCGTTGAGTACTCTGTAGAGTGAACACATAATTTCTAATGTACTGAGTAGAGTAAACAAATAATAATAAAAAAAATTATTTAAAGTTAGGATGTGCGATTAATCAATTGATGGAACAAGCTGATTAATCGAAAGCCGATTAATTAATTAATCAAATATCAATTATTTTTGATTAATTTTCCGATTAATTACATGTTGATTAATCAGAATCTAATTAATTTGATTACACAGAAGACTGATTAATCATAACCTGATTAACCAGAAATGTGAGTGTTTGCTGTTATATTTTGTTTTTCATACATATGTATGTAAACAAAAATAAAATAAAAAGTTTTTACATATGTACGTAAATATGTATGTACATATTAGAGGTTCACGCCGACGGGCTTTGCGGCGGCGGCGTGCTCAACTTCAAAAAGAATCGGCGGCGGAGGCGATGCCGGCGCGTCTGAAAACGCCGGCCTACTGCCCTCAAGGTAGAATCCATGAGGCTAGTTATCTTATCATGTCATCTCGCCAGCATTAAGCATTCGCCATGCCAATCAGTGTTGCCAATTTAGCCGTTTTCCGGCTAGATTTTGCCGGTTGCTATATATAGCAAACAGCCGGAGAATATTTGGTTTAGCCGGCAGCCGATTTGTTAGCCATTTTGTAAAAAAAAATTAGCCGTTTTTAGCCGATTTTGCTATAGTTCTTATTTTCTTAAAATTTTAACACATAAGTTTCCATTTTTACAAAATATAGCGACCCAAAATCTATTAGAAATGGCTAGCCTTACCTCTGAGAAAATTTTCGTGTCGAACTGTGTTATATAAGATTTAAAGAAAATTGTTTCTAATCCGAAAGGTCATTAAATACTGGGCCCATTTCAATGATTTTTGTTTTAAGCGAATATACAATGAACCAAATACATATATACTGGGACACAAAATTTTAGCAAAGTTTTAGCTAGTTTTCTTCAGTTTATTAATGCTTATTATTTTTTAATGACAGAGTAGCTGATTTACTTTAAAAACACCACTTAAATCCAAATTTCATACTTTGTGCAAAAGTTATTAAAATTTTGCAAATTTTCACCAAAATGTTTCACTTTTTAATCAGCATCTTCAAAAATTTTAAATATGAATATAATAAGGAGCAAATTTAAAGTAACTAGGCAATTGTTTTATTGAGGGTATTCCGCATTTTTCCATATAAAAGAAACTGTCGAGTATACTTTTTATGAAAAAATGCGTAACACCGTTATACAAAAAATGCCAAAAAACAACGGTAAGTTCTAGCTACTTCAAATTTACACCATATTATATTAAAATTTAATAGACTATGAACTGCATACCATTATTTTTCTAAAGATGCGGATTAAAAAACAAACTTTTTGGGGAAATTTTTCAGTTTTTATAATTTTTGCACAAAGTTTGAAGTTTGGATTTATATGGTGTTTATGAAGTAATCATAAGAAAATAATAGACATTAAATAAACTAAGGAACAAGTAAGAAAGTCTAGGTTCGGGCGGAGCCGAACATTAAATACCCGGCGCAAGTATTAAATATAT